TACATCGCTACTTTGGACACCAGAATTCGATGTTCGACTGGAAAGTCCGATTTTGGACACTAGCGTCAGTTTTTAGGCACGAGTGTCCGATTTTGGACACAAGTGCTTAGTTTTGGAGACTAGTATTTGATTTTGGAAACTAACTGGTGTCTGACCTTGAACATTAGTGTCTGATTTTAGAGTCTTCGCGCCTGGTTTTGGAGACTAGTGTCTGAATCCGACATCGACGCTTTCCCGCAACTTTTAAACCGCTTACATGGCAAAGAATCCCTAGTTTACAAATTTTCTTTTTCCTCAAAAGTTTCATGGGGCCGTCTCTAGAATTCTTCAAATCAAGCCACCAGTCTTTCAATAAGTTCGGATCTCGCACGGTCGACGGATTTGCGACGTGTCGATTCGAGTTTGCAAACTCTAACATGAACTACGATTGTTCGAAAGTTTTTCAGTGTAGGGATGCGTTTAAATGGTGTGGAAAGGGACATAATACTCATCGTCAATCGACTAAAGCATCGATTTAAAGTGTCATTCATAAACAGTCATCAATTCTATGGCGATGGTTTGTCGTGCTGTTTAAGTCGACCAATATTGATACGAGAGCCAGCTCTACCACTAATAAAAGTACAAGCCCTGAGAAAATAGAGAATTCTTGATGGAATCCTTTGTTTCCTGGGTGGTTGTGCTAATTTGCCTCAAGACAGCATAGTCATACATTTAGAGAAATTTCAAGAAATTTCAATGGAGTTTAGTTCTAAAAGAATCCTTGATTTCTTTGCTTTTGCTGTGTGTAGATCAATCTCAAATATTTACCTCGCCTCTTAAACCAATCAGATGCAAAATTTAAATCAATTGTTAGTTGGTCACTCATGGATGGTTTTTTAATGGCTACTCTTGCAACCTCTGCCTCAACATTTGTATGTTGATGGACAGTTTGAGGGGAGTAAGTTGTAACCTGAATGAGCGAATTCCTCACTTGGTTCAGCGAAAGAAATTTACAAATCAATGTTAAAAGTGTTGCAATAACTAAAGCATCTAATAACTGGTGGTATCTGCTACTGATATTTTACAAATAGAGATGCCATGTTGAAGTGCATCTGTTCACAGATGATATCTAGAAAATTCTAGAAATTCTAGAGTTACACTCACTCACTCATCTCAGCTACTTTCGTGGCTTCGCCTCCTATAGGAGACAGTAGCCAAACAAAATCATATCCTCGGATCCACTGGATTTAATTCAATGATTCAAACGGTAGCATGCCCTTCTTCAAAGAAAAAATCTTCTAAGTTTTCATAATGCACCCATCATATCGTTTAAGATATTTCTGCAAGAAAAAGCTTTGTTTATTCACGTGTCATCCAGACATGATTGTGAGGTGTTTGTCGTCTCTTGTAATACTCCAAAAAAAAGGCAAACAAATAATATGTAGCCCCGGGAAATATCGGGCAAATATTGTATTGGGCTAATATCGGAATTAATTATTTTATTGTCACCACCACATGATTAATTGGAGGCAGAAGCCACTTGTACAGCTTGATCGTGGGCTCATTCCCCCCTCCCTCCCCCCGCCTGCGCCGCACCACCAAGCATACTTTTACTAGTCCTTTTACTATGGAAGCTTCCAGGTCGTAAGTTGCCGAAGCGTCCTATTGACCGATTTAAGCTTGCATCTGGAGAATTCAGTAGTTTTCAACAAATTGCTTGAATTTAAGCAAGCTACGGTAAGTAATTTAAACTCGTGAATAACTTACTATTGTATTTTAAATGTAGAAAATATCTCTTATCACAAGTTGTTTATGTTTCGGGTCATTAGATAGAATCAACTGACTAGACTGCTGAAGGCAGATCAGAGTGCGGATAGTTTTGTAAGGACAACATTCTTACTGCAGGCTTTGGAAATTCAATAGCATGAAGAGTGCTCCTGGTCTGGATAACTTTAAAAATACAAACAAAAATCAAATTTGAATGCGGTTCGGTCGCTTTTTTTTACACGATACAAGCTTAAATGCAGTTAGATCCGTTGACGATGGACTACTTACTACGAATTGATTGAACTTTGATACCTTTAGGTTGATAGGATTAGTTTTTTGTGCCAAGTAACGAAAGCTATGCAGAAAGCTGAAAGAAAGGAACGAATTACCAAAATATGCCTGCCACAATTTATGCGAAGGGTATCCTTGGGTTTTAAGTGACGTAATAACATTTTAAAGAATAAGAAATCATCAATCCTTTTGAGAATTTAGTTTAGTTAGTTGCTATAACAACTGAGGAATATTCTTTTTGTAGATTTTCAGTTTGATAGGGTTTTTCGTCTTGTGATAAAGCAAGGTTAAAAACTTTTGCGTGACAAGATATTAAAATGGCGGTCGAGATTGCTGTCACGTACGTTAGAAAAGTGACTTATCCGCTGATGTTTCGCAGTCTAAACAGTCCTTGTATGAGAATAAGGGCAAGATTTCCGTATAACCCCATACCAATCAAAACCAAAGCCGTGGTCCTAAAGAAAATCTGTTGTTTTGCCTCTGCTTTCCTTTATCCAAGAATTGAATGCATAATGAAGTATGGGGTTATACGGAAAGCTTGCCGAGAAATAAGTATTATATAGATGTTTATGAGCCTTCAGAAAACAACTAAAGGCTTTTTAAGAAAAACTCGAAGACATATATGTTGTTGTTAGCTTGCGGCCACCATATTTGGGCCATATAAATTTGAGTAAAACATTTCTTCGAATATCTTCCACATGAAACATCGTACAGACCTGAATTTTTGCGTGACTGAGTGTGTAAATTCCCTCTTCTTTTTTCTCGATGATTCTTGACTTTATTTGTTGAATGGTGTTTTTTTTATGATAATGTGACGGTGAAAACTGTCATTACTGTTGGTTATGTAAAAGGTCCCCTCTACCCTTTGTAAAACTCAGTCATGCAAAAATATTTGGCATTTTTATGCATCACAGATGATATTCTAATTTAGTTTACGTTCACACGAAATTTGACCCTGTAAAATTTCACATGAAGATAATAAGTCACATTCGCAAATTTATATTTTTACTTTTTTCTAGTCTTGATCAGTCTTAAGTGACAAAAGGTGACTTCACGACTTATCCTAGTTGTTCAAGACCATAAGCAATCTGTTTTATGACTTTTATCGATCCGCATGAAGTCCATGTCCTCTCAAAGCCCTGGTCATAGCCTAAGCACAGCCGTTCTAGAATAATACATACATTTAAAATCAAATAGCCGAGAACTCATCACCCAAATCAAAATGGTTCACAAATCGCGTTTGGTTCAGCTATTCATTCACAAGTTAAGTTCAAATAAAAAATTAGTTCACCTGGACATGAGAGGATCTTATCGTTTCTAATCCCGATTCACAAATAAAGTAAAAATCAAATCGTAACTCATGAGAAAAAAAAAATCACCTAGTCAATCTTCACGTAAAAAGTATAGGGGACCCTCAGGTGAATGTACTTGAAAACACTTCACATGAGGCAACTGGGTCTCACTGTTAATGCTTCTCAGGTTTTAATTTTATTGCAGTTTGGATGTTTGTTTGTTTCCAATGACTTCTTATCATCATTGTGTTCTCCTTTCTGGGAAAAACTGTTTTGCCTTTCACCCTTAACAGCCTAATATCAGTATGCATATTCTCCATACCATTCTCTAAGGTGCTGACAAAGAGAATTTGTTTAACGATCAAGAGCTTCTCCAGATATGGACTATTTCCTTTAATATCAGTATGCACATTCTCCATACCATTCTCTAAGGTGCTGATGTGGAGAATTTGTTTAATGATCAAGAGCTTCTCCAGATATTGACTATTTCCTTTTAAATTAATATCAGTATGCATATTCTCCATACCATTCTCTAAGGTGCTGATGAGGAGAATTTGTTTAAATATCAAGAGCTTCTCCAGATATTGACTATTCCCTTTCTTTGCGTGACCTTAATGTTTGATTTAGGGATAATATTGTGGAAAGAATTCAGATGTTAGTCACTCTTAGAGGTTAAAGTGTCCAATTTTTTTTTTTGTTTTTTAATATCTAAATCTGTCATTTTACTATCCTTGGTGTAAGAATTCTGAATTAAAAAATTAATATGAATTATGTTTGGTAATGACTCCTCTTTTCTTTAAACAGGTTTTCCATGAATGCTTCGAGTGAAACGCTTTTGGAATGCCCTTCCTGTGGAAAGAACTTTGCATCACGCGCAAGTCTAAAACAACATTTATTTACACACACTGGGATAAGGCCTTTCGCATGTTCTTTGTGTGACAAGACTTTTCAATTTTCTTGGACCCTCAAAAAACATGAGGCAATACATGGAAACGAAAGACCTTTTAAGTGTATGCAGTGTGACAAGAGATTTTACACTGCTTTTAAATTAAAAACACACCTTCGAGTACATAGTGACGAGAGGCCATATGTTTGTACTCAGTGTGATAAGAGCTTTCGTTGGTGGAATTCATGGAAAGTACATGAAAAATGGCACCGTGGGTTGGCGCCTTACAAATGTTCTTCATGTGATTACAAGACTCTGTATAAATCACATCTTACAGAACACGAGAGACATCATACTGGCGAGAAACCTTACAAATGTTCCCACTGTGATAAAGAGTTCCGCACCAAAGCAGCGTATTTGTTTCATTTAAGAGTACACACTGGTGAAAAACCCTACAGTTGTCCACACTGTGAACAACGGTTTACTCAATGGTCCACGTTGAGAGGACACATTAGTACACATACTGGTGAGAAGTTATACCAATGCTCAATTTGTGGTAAGGAATTTAAGAGCAGAAAATCTGGCTACAGACACTATGCTGCAGCGCACAAAAATGAGATTTCAAGCTGTGGGAAACGCTACAGCTGTACTCAATGTAAAAAGGTTTTGGTTGACTTGGCTGGTGTGGAAACTACGATTCAACAAACTGAACCTGTTCATCAATCTGATGCCAATGAAAACTCTGGTCTAGTATCAGCTACCAATCATGAAAATGTGTCAAGCACTGGTGTGAGGTATTTCAAATGTGATGTTTGTAGCACATGGAACAGCTTAAATCAGGTTAGTCCAAAGTCTTCTTATGGCTCATTACCGCCAAAAATCAAAGTAAAGAAAGGACAGTATTCTGAAAAGTCCTTTGAGACTGAAGATGTTTCTGGACAATCATCAGCTGACCAACCATCGTCTCCCTCTAACCAGAAGGATAACAGTAAAAAGGTTTCTACGAATCCAAAAGTTGTCAGGACTCAGATTTCTCCAAAAGATGACAAACAGAAAATCAAGTGCCTCATTTGTGACAAGCAGTTTAAAAAGGAGACTCTTCTCATAAGCCACATGAAAATGCACACATGTGGTAAGTGTGGTGAGATATTTCACAATGACGATAATTTAAGGATGCACAGGAAAATGCACAAGGAGGAAAAACGCTTTAAGTGCAATTTTTGTGATAAGACATTTAAGGACAAAGGACACTGCAATAGACACATGTGGGTCCACGCCAACAGCAAACCTCACAAGTGCTCTGAGTGCAGGAAGTCTTTTGCTGATATAAGTCAACTGCAAAGACATAAAAACTGTCACCTTTAGAAAACCCTCCATTGCGGCGATTGCGGTAAGTGGTACAGATGGGAATTCTACTTTAAAAAACATAGATGTAAGAAAAGGAAAAAAGACCAGAAGGCTTTTGTGTGTGACAATTGTGGCAAATCTTTTGATAAGTTGGCATCTCTTGAAGCACACAAAAGATCTCTTTGTCTAATGCAGCCGAAAGATGATATGAGTGCCCTCAGTGTTGAAGTGGTTACCTTGCTTTAAGTGCATTAACAAGAGATAGTAAAAGAGAAATTAATATCTTACGGTTACTAATTTTTTTCATTCAGTGATTGTAACACTTCTTGTTACAAGGAAATTGTGAAACTAAGGGTCTACATATCAGTAGAATGACCATTATGCAATTTTGGCAAATGTTTAGAAAAAAATACAAAACTTTAATTGACTCAACGATTTGATGCACCAGCTAACATCATTGTTTTGAAATTTTCAGTTCCAAGTATGCCAAATCTACACTGAAGTATTAATTAAATAGTAATTTACAATTTTGGTTGGAGGGAATTCATTTGAGCTTTTAAAACCCTCTGAATGACCAGCATCTAATTTCTCTGTACAGTTAAACTATTGAATCATAACTGGAGATTATGAGAATAAAGGAAATGATCTCCAACGTAAGCAGCTTGGACTGTGAAACAAATTCTCTTTGTCAGTACAAAAGGAAACGTACGAAGAAGATTATGGAGAATGTGGCTCCTGATGTTAGAGTGTAAAGTGTAAATGAAACTGTTTATATAGTTCTTATTAACCGAGTGGGAGGTCTGTATGGGAGAATCTTGACCGAGGTCGCCAGTACAGACCAAATGCAGTGAGGTCTGTACCAGTGACCAAGGTCAAGATTCTCCCTGCATACAGACTGACCTAGCTTGGTTGATAAGATGTTTATTATATGGCTGTGTCTTATATGCCAATTTTTTATATTCTTTGTACCTTTTTTTTCTAGACAGGTCTAGATGCCAGTCTAGATGGGAAAATCTAGACCGCTTTCAATATTGATTTCAGCCAATCAAGTTCATGAATTTGGTAGTGGAATTGATTATGAATTAAATAAAGATTACATTACATTACATTAGTTCCCAGTCCTTGTGAGAGACAGCCATATAATAATTTAGATTAGTATAATTTCAGAGCTGAGCAAAGAGTTTCCAGCAATCTGATTGGTCGAGCAGTTCCTTATATAACGCTATATAAACCGCTCCATGTGGTTTATACAAAATGTTAAAATAAAATGTTAATAAATGTTACTAAAATGTTATGATTTTAGAAATTGCTCTGTTGTTCAGCTCTGAAATTATACTAAAACAATTATTTGCCTCAGGTTCGGTTAATATTGTCGAATTTTCCCCTCCACTTCGTCCCGGGGATTATTCGACGATATTCACCTCACCTTCGGCGAATAATTGTTAATTATAACACTTTTCACAGAGAATGAGAAGGCCTTCACCCTAACATCAGTATGCATATTCTCCATACTGTTCTCTATACAGTTCCTAAGTTGCTGACAAGGAGAATTTGTTTCATTAGTTGGTGATCACTTCTTTTACTCTTGTGACCCTAAGGTGTTTGGGAGTGATATCTTAAAGAGAAATTAGATGCTCGTCACTCTTAAGGGTCAAAGAATTAATAGTGAAGGTCTCCCACATGGAGTACATGTTATCAAGTGAATAAAAGGGAGTAAGTTTCTTAAGAAAGTGGTGCTGTGACAGTGAGGGAGTATAACAAGATAATTTTAGTCTTACCAACTGAGTTTATAATGTGAATTGGCCATCATAAAGAGTTTCAAAGCTGATGTTTTGAGCAATAGCCCTTTGTCATTTGCTCTGATGAGGGGCTAACCGCATTCAAAATATCAGCTTTGAGACTCTTCATGGTGGCCACTTTACATTATTAACTCAAAATTATGTACTTATATTATCAGTGGGAAGGTAATAAATAATGTGCCTGGATTTTACAAATCACCTTCAATTAAGAACCTCTCCATACTCAGAACTTGTTAAGGTGGATTGGACTGTTTGTTACATTTATGATCATAGCTTTTACTTCCAATTGTTGATTGCTTTTGATTTAGAATAATAGTTCAGGGCTCAACACTAACGGTAGCCTACTAGCCACAGACTAGTAGAAATTCGGTTTTGGCTACTGGTTTTCGATTTCCACTAGCCAGTTTGGTTAGAAAATAAACTGAAATTGTCGTAAAATCTAAGATGTCATCAGCCACTTGGCTAGTAAGTTGAAAAGTTAGTGTCGAGCCCTGATAGTTGCTGTTAAAATTATTAGTAGTAGTTCAAAGTTTAATCGCTTAAAAAAAAAACTCTGAAACATTTAAGGGGATGTTAGTTTTTCAGTTTAGAAGTTTTTGGGAAGAAATTGGCAGTGAATTTAAGTAGTGTTATATTATGGGTAAACCTGGTGTTGTAGTTATGAGGCATTTGAACTTTGTATTCTAATACATCAGTTTAGTTTGTTGGGAATTGAAATGTTTTTATATGGTGTTTTAGTTATAAATACATCATTGAAAAATTAAAATCTTAATACTTTATGTATTATGTATTGTTTTTTTTAGTTTTGCAAATTAAGTCCATAGAAATATTCTGTTAATTAAAGCATAAATGTTAAAACTTCTGCACCTCATGCTCGCCCTGGCCCTCTTAAACCGCACGTTTTCTTTTTTTTGTTGTTGTTGTCTTCTGCTGTTTTTTCCATTTCTATTGCCGACATTGTCTTAAAGTTACAAACTTTGTAATTCCACTCCTCGCTATTATTTTTCTTGCGTGCGATCAGATCGGAAAATCCCGAGCGAGGCGGGTATTGGGTAGCCAATCGGAACACAGGATTCGC